TGGATAACACTGCTTTACAGAATGTGAAACTGGTTAACAGAAACAGGCAGTTAGTAGTGAAGTCAAAAGTGGAAAATTGCAACTAGAGATAGCATGGATTAACTAGACAAGCTCAAAGTGCTGTGGCCAAGAGATAAGGGGTCATGTTACAACACAGACGGACCTTGAAAACATAATGCTAAGTGAAAGAAGCCAGTCACAATAGGCCACATAGTGTATGTTATCATTTATATGAAATCCCCAGAACAGGCAAATATACAGACAAAAAGGAGGTTAGTGGTTGCCCAGGAATGGGAATGGGGGCAGGGGGACATTGGGAAGAGGGGAATAATTACTAATGGATACAGGGTTTCTTTTAGGAGTGATGAAGTGTTCTGCAATTAAATAGTGGAAATGGTTACACAACTCTGGAATATAGCTGCTCACTTTAAAAAGCTAAATTTTATGGCATGTGAATTATGTCTCAATGTGGAGCGGAAGGAGAAGGGATTCAACGACAGGCCATGTTGCAACCAAAGTTATAAGGTAGTTAAGAGAAGAAAGGAGGCACATGTAGAGTGAGCAGAATGTGTATCCTGGGGTCAGAAAGATACAGTTTCTAGGTCTTCCAGCTGCAGAGCTCCTGATTAGATTACCGTTCAGTGCGCCTGCATCCTTATAAGAAAGCCCTTTCATATATGCTAGCTTGAGTGGTCATCTGTTTCTTGACGCCAAACAAGACCTTCAAATAGGACCTGTTTAAACATCATTCCTGAAACCTTTCATTATTAATTTTTTCACTCTCCCTTTCTCATTACCTGTTGACTTCCCTTTGATTATACAAATAGAAAAAATTCAGATACTTACCAATCCCTCCACCTCCCCAGCAGGCAAACATACTTGTTGCATTCCAAACTTCAGCCACCACCCACCCTTATACAATGTCCCTCTGGCTCACATACAGTGCTGTGGAAAAACTGGAACAGAAGTGCATCAGAATAAAAGGGCCCAGATACACTGGCCTGAGTTACTTACCAGCTGCTCCCTAGTGAGAACAAGACAGAATAATACATTTATGTGGTGAGAAAGTCATTTGCATTTGGATAAAGGGCAATCTTCCTATCATGTGGGGTGTCAGGTACCAGAAAAAGCTCTAAGGACAATAAAGACAGTAATAATTTTAAGTCACCATCCAACAACAGAATAGCTAACAATATGCTTTGAAAGGTTTTCAGCCTTCCTCCGTGAGGTATGGAGATAAGTTCTGGAGACCTTATTTCTGCAATCATCTTTAGTTAACAAAAACCCTCGAAGGGCATATCATTCATTCAACTGTAATTCCCAAACTTTTGCTATCATGCCAGATACTACACATACAGGGCTCTATAAAAGACTGAGAAATATGTGTCCTTGAGGTAAGGTCACTGAAAAAGTAGAAGGGCACAACTATAATCTTCTATAAATCCTATGAAGCAATGTATAAAAGTTCCATGAAAGAAGTAGCTAATATGATTTTACTTTATTTGGAGGAGGGGAAGGTGTGTGCAGGGATTTCAGCTGAATAGAGTAGGCAACTAGAAAAAGTGCCACATGGCGTGGAGTAAAGCAGCCTAAGGGAGATGAAGAAATGTTAAGGACTGAGGAGAGACAGGAAGAGAGAGCGGGATAACATTAGAAGGGAAAAAAAGGACTTGAGAAAGTTGTGGGAAGAGTACAGAAAAGAGAACATACTAGAAAGTTGACAGAATAAAGAGGTAGGTCAGAGAGTCCTGGTAAAGGGCTTTCCATCTTATACTGACAGGCTTGGAGTTTATTCCAAGATTTTAGAATAAGTGAATGATCAGATCTGTCCTTTTAAAAGATACCTAACAATAATCTAGAGTATGAAATAAGGCAGGGAACATGGGGATCAGAAGGCTCTTGCATAAACTAGTATCTAAGATGTACACCCAGTCTCAAGACAATACTAAGAAATTTTGGGCCAGGATACACTAGGACATGGACTTCACTTAACTCCAACAAGGTAAGGAAGAGAAAGAAATTAACAACCCTTGGGTTCTAGTGAAGACAATATGGGGAATTGTTTTTTGTGGGGAAGTCTCTAGATGAAAGTAACCAATGAGCAGTATAGACCTCAGAAGACATTTGGGGGAACAGAGATTCGAGAAGCACATCAGTTTCCCCTTAAGCAATGGGAGACTGAAAAGAAAAAAGTCTGGGACACAACTTATGAAAATATCCTATCTTAGGGTGTCACCAGTGGAAGCTTAAGAGTGATCAATGAAGAATAAAGAACATTGGGTAACTGTTCACTGACAGTCGAGGCAGCCTGGTCTAGTGGGCAAAAATGAAAAGACTTTTACATTAAACTTGTACTTCAGGCCAAACATTGATACTATTTGTCCTCAGTATCTCACTCAACTGGGTTTCTCATCTACAAAATAGGGGCAATAGCCTACGCCCAGGTACCCTTGCAAAGATTTGGCGAAGATGGATGACTAAAACAGATGCAAATGCACTTGGATAAAATGTTGATAATACATTCCTTGACTGACTCTAACTCAGAATGACTTGCATTAAGCCCACTAGCTCCCAAACTTTAGCATACACAAAAACCATGCAGGACACTTGTTAAACTAGTCTTGGGTCCTATTCCAGCATAAAAACATCTGAATTTTTACGTTCCAGGTGACTTTCGTGCATTGGTCCGTGGTCCAGATTTAACGGGACACTGAATGAGTCCAATCAAGAAAACAGGCTGAGAAAAATGCTGTGTCAATGCTGGGTTGAATGAACACCAGGCAGTGGCAAAGCACAGGAAGTGTTACAATAAAAGGTAATTTGAGCCACAGTCTTGTTTCTAAGGGATCATAAATCCTGGGACATGGAAATATTCTTATTATGTATTACATCTTTATGATGATATTCGCTGTAAGTTCACCTGTTACTGCTAAAATAAAATTTTAGTAAAGAACTCTAATAAAAAGACATTTAAATTACTGTTATCTTGGAGACTACAGAGAAGGCACAGGATCTATTTCAAAAGAGTAATAAGACAGGACAGGTACCGAGGCAGCAGGATAGCATTGAGCTCAGGAGTTCAAGACCAGCCTGGGCAACACAGGGAGTCCTCCTATCTACAAAAAATTTACAAATTAGTCAGGTGTGGCCGGGCGCAGTGGCTCATGCCTGTAATCCCAGCACTTTGGGAGGCCAAGGCGGGAGGATCACGAGGTCAGGAGTTCAAGACCAGCCTGGCCAACGTAGTGAAAACCCCATCTCTACTAAAAATACAAAAAATTAGCCAGGTGTGGTAGCAGGCGCCTGTAATCCCAGTTAATCTGGAGACTGACACAGAGAACTGCTTGAATCTGGAAGAAGGGGGCTGCATTGAGCCGAGATCGTGCCATTATATTCCAGCCCGGGTGATAGTGTGAGACTTCATCTCAAAGAAAAAAAAAAAAAAAGAATTAGCCAGGTGTGGTGGTACATGCCTGTGGTCCCAGGTACTTGGGAAGCAGAGGCAGGAGGTTGAGGCTACAGTCAACTGTGACTGTGCCACTGCACTCCAGCCTGGGCAACAGAGCAAAGACCCTGCTTCAAAGACAAACAAAAACAGCAACAGCTAACTTTGAGCTCTGCCGCTGCCCCAACTATTCCACAAAGAACTGTTCAGTTTCTACTATTATCCACACCTGTTACATCTAATCTCAGGGTAGAATGATTTGCACATGGAGGCCTAACTGCAAAGGCCTGCATTAACACCTATTATCTAGAGAATATTCTACCATTTAATATTCTTGGCTTTGAGCCAGGCACAGTGGCTCATGCCTATAATCCTAGCACTTTGTGAGGCTGACGTGGGAAGATCACCTGAAGTCAGGAGTCAAGACCAGCCTGGCCAACATGGCAAAACCTCGTCTCTACTAAAAATACAAAAAAATTAGCCAGGTGTGGTGGCATGCGCCTGTAGTCCCAGCTACTGGGGAGGCTGAGGGAGGAAAATCACCTGTACCCAGTAGATGGAGAATACAGTGAGCCAAGATCGCGCCACTGCACTCCAGCCTGGGCAACAGAGTGAGACTCTGTTTGGCGGGGGGACCAAGGGGTGGGTTGGGAGGGCGGCAGCGGGCTGGGGAGAAATATATATATATTCATTCTAGCCTTTGAATAACCTAAAGCTCATTTGCTGGAGATTCCAAAACACTCTGAAGCCTCGTTACAGTCACTGAAATCAGGGGTTAGAAATGTGTCCTTTTCTACAAAGTTCAGAATTCAGGTTCCCAGCAGCTACGACTCAGGGCCAGAGTAGCATTTTACCTGTGTACAATAGCACTTCTTGGAGAGTACTGCAAGTTAACAAGGTTTCTTATTCTTGTAATTTACTTAGGCAAACTGCCATTCAAGATTGATTCAGTTTTGCTTTTCTTGGACGGTAAAGGGCAATCTGATGTTCCTAAAATAATGTGCCCCATGAGCTGCATTTTCAATTAGACTGGGGGTAAAAAAAAAAAATCAGGATTACACTTTGTATGTCAATACAGAAAGTTGTAGACGATACTAAACACACTGACTGTAGCTACCAGTCTCCTCTGTGATATGAGTCTAATAATCTAAATATTTAAAATAGTAAGACCCTTTCTTCCTGAAAGATTATTTGAAATTGCATGTCCAACCCAAAGCAACAATGCTACAGTAAAAAAAAAAAAAAAAAAAAAGACTTGGAATCGATCATATAGGAAAACACTACAGCTTAAAGGAACTGGAGCTGGCACACTGGAGCTAATGTTGCTGGTCATATATCAAGTGCACCTTCATGTAAAGAACTTAGAGCCTTCAGGAAATAAGCAGTAATGAGACAGACTCAGATTACAATTGAAAACAATAGCATGAGAGAATTCAGGTTTTGGCTTCCTTTCCCATTTTTTTCTTCCCCCTCTTAAGGAAAGGAACCAATTTCACCAAATAGAACAGCCTAGTCCCTCTGCTTATGATAAAAATTAGACAACAAAAATACTTACACGGGACTGGAATTCAAAGAGCAATGATCCACCATCATTTCCGGAAGGAAATCCAACTTAAACGCAGCCATCACCTCACTCTCCCCTTCAGAAGCCAATGATATTAACTTGCTGCACTTGTCTGATCCACAAATACACACAGCTTTAGCTTCCTGGGCCCCACAAAAGACACAAAGTGGAAACAGGAGCTCAGGGAAACCAGCAATAAGTGCCACAGAAAGAGGCAGGACTGGGGAAGGGGTAGGGAAGGGGAGTATTGGATTAAAATGGGGATGTGACCATGTGAAGGGAGGCTCAGCCCATCACACAATGAAAGTGCTGATGCGCCAGGCTTGTTTTGTGTGATTTTCCCTGGCGAAGCAGTACTAAGTGCACTGTCAGATAAATAGAGTGTCAGATCCATGAAGATAGCAGTGGCTAACAGAGCAGAAGAAACACAAACTTGTTTCACATCCTCCAAACTCCTCCCTGAAAACCAGTTTTTACGGTCCCCCAAAGCCTGAAACTACCTAAAGCAAGAAAAGGCTCACCTCATATGGTCTGAAATGTTTTTAAAGAACTGATTGTTAGCCTTGGTTTTAAACTTAGTTTCCATGTGCCAAAGACAGCAATGAGCACAGTGCTTAGGTCCAAACTAACCTTAGAACAGTCACATAAAGAGGAATGATAAGTCCATCAGAAGCAGGCCAGAGGCAAGCTGGTTGAATAAACTGGCCACCAGAATCTTACCACTCCCATACAACTGCCTACAGTGGATCGGCCTTGCTTTTTTTTTTCTTGATATTTTCAAAAGAGCATCAATTTCTCAACTGACCTTGCTTTCTTGATGATGCGCTATCTAAGGGTAGAGCAAGGTGTGCTATCTAATGGTTCCTCATCTGGGTGAAAGACTTTAAAAATTCTTGGTTCTGTAACACTCATTAGATGGCACAGGAAAATTTTCTTTACTAACTCTGAAGCTTAATTTGCCAGAAAATAAAAAATGGAATAGTAATCTTCTGCTCTTACTAGTATACTAGGAAATAATGTCTTTTTGGTTCTCTGTTGTCCTTTCTAAAGAAACAAAGAACAAAAGCCATCATAGCAATAATAATGAAAAAGAACCAGGGACAACATTCAAACATGTAAGGGGAGAACCAAGGAATGAAGTCTCTTCATTCTCTTTTTTCTCCTTTAAACTGTTCCTAAAACCAAGACTAGTGAATGCACACATAAAAATTCTATTATGGGTGAGCAGTAGAGATGGATATACTTAGCAGTCAAGGCAGATGTGTGCTCCTGTTCTCAATTTAGCTCCATATCCCCCCAAACAACAAATGGTGGCATTTCAATATTTAGGCAGAGGCTCTAAAATGTTATCTCTGCAGGCTCCCAAATTTCACAGGCTTTCTTTCCATTTTTATCATTAGAGTTGCCTTACCTCAAAGATTTCACTTCACCCAAGCTCAGTTCATAACACAGGGAACTTTGAAAAAAAGAAGTTATGTTCAGCCTGCAAAGAAGTAAAACGAATGAACTCCTAAACATATAGAGTTAACTTTAAAAAAAAAAAAAAAAAAAAAAAAAAAAAAAAAAAAAAAAAAAAAAAAAAAAAAAAAAAAAAAAAAAAAAAAGATGAAAGGCAACACACAATGGCATAGGCCTAAAAGTTCTAATCTGTGTAACAATGGCTGACACCTGTCTGCATCTGACCCAGGAAGTTCGTGAAAACCTTCTGTCCATGTCCAGATGTCATCACCCAAAATCTAGAACTGTAAGAGCTGCTTACTGCTTTTTCTATTTTTGTTTTGTTTTTTTTTTGTTTGTTTTCTTTTTTTATTTTTGTTTTTTATTTTTCTTTTTTTATTTTTGTTTTCTATTCGTTCATCTGATTTACTACTATGGAGGTAGAAGTGGCAGAAGCTCTCTTCTATCCTATTAAAGCAGCAAAAACGAGCTGCAAATGAGAGGAGACTGTGCAACTCACACACAGTACACAGTTTACCCATCCATGCCTATCAGGCAGAAGATGGTAACCCTAGCTGGGGCTGGTTAGATTACTGGTTATGTTTGTCCTAGTTTCTCCTACGTACACTGGAACTGATGGCATGCCTCTTCCCATAGAAAGCTGCCTGGACCAAGGAATAACTGAGTCGACAATCAAATTAAATCTTTTAGTGCAAGAATTCCTTTAAAAAGGTTGGGTGCAGTGGCTCATGCCTGTAATCTCAGCACTTTGGGAGACCGACGAGGGCGAATCACCTGCAGTCAGGAGTTCAGTACCAGCCTGGCCAACATAGTGAAACCCCATCTCTACTAAAAAATACAAAAAATAAATAAATATTAGCTGGGTGAGGTGGCACACGCCTGTAATCCCAGCTACTCAGGAGGCTAAGACAGGAGAGTAGCTTGAACCCAGGAGGCAGAAGTTGTGGTGAGCTGATATCATGCCCCTCCAACTCCAGCCTGGGCAACAGCCTGTCTCCCCGACACCAAAAAAAAAAAAATTCCAGTAAAAAGGAATCAATAGGCCAGGTGTGGTGGCTTATGCCTATAATCCCAGCACTTTGGGAGGCCGAGGAGGGCGGACCACGAGGTCAAGAGATCGAGACCATCCTGGCCAACATGGTGAAATGCCATCTCTACTAAAAATACAAACATTAGCTGGGCGTGGTGGTACGCGCCTATAGTCCTAGATTCTCGGCAGGGTGAGGCAGGAGAATTGCTTGAACCCAGGAGGCGGAGGTTGCAGTGAGCTGAGATCGCACCACTGCACTCCAGCCTGGCACCTAGCGACAGAGAGAGACTATCTCAAAAACAAACAAAACCAATAAATTTCAGGGAATTTACTTGTTATTGTGTTTTTAATATTTACTAAAAAATATAAATTCCAATTGTATCTCTAGTTTAAATCAGAATCACATCTATAATAAAAGAGTACTTAAATGGAGATATTACAGAGTTGCCAGGCACTGCCCAATGTATGAAAAGATATGCACTCCTTACAATAGTTTTCACCATGCCGAAGGCTGGGAAACATGATTTAGAGTAACATCTTACAATCATTTTTTCCCAGTCATCGAACTTTTGTTCAAAAGAAGTCTCTAGAGGCCCAATTTATACAACAGTTGAAAACAGAAAATAGGTCCTATAAATTCTCTGTGCTTACACTGCTATTAAAATCCATTTCATGATTTATAAAGCAACATTGCTTTAAAAACCTACAAGATGGAAATGTTATTACATCAAAGAGGGCACTTCTCTTTAGGCAGGTCACAGAGTTATCTCAGTATAATTAAATTCAACATGCTTTGGGAGAAGAGAGCACAGAAATTAATCACAAGTCACTCAATTTTAGAAAGAGGTTATGAAGTGATAAAAACAATTATGAGAATACAAAAATTTAAATATTAAGGGAAATTTAAAAGTAGAGTTAAAAAAAAGTTATTCACAAAAAAACTACCCATATGTGTGTGTTTAATGTCTTTATTAGATATACAGTCCAGGCTTCTCCCGCAAAGGAGGTGTTAGAAATATGGTAACAGGAGGGGTTATAAACAAGGGTCTGCTGCAAAAGAAGGTCTTAACTTTCCCTCAGCCTCTTTATATCACCTGTTCCTTTCACTCTGTACTTTTACGGTTTCCTCTTCTCTCCCTGGTTGTCCCTCTGTCTCAGTTTTCTCTGCCTTGCATATTCTCTACTTTTTAAAAGAGCAACAATTCAAAGCCTGATTAAGTGAAGGTAGGAGCAATCAGCCTGCTGTAACATTAAGAATCCAAATAATTAAACGTGATCAATACAGATAAGGAAAACACTCAAGAGAACAGCACTCACTGCATTTAGGATATAGGAATGGTATAAACTTAACAGGAAGATGTAAAACTGGATTAGGAGAGAAAAAGCTAGCAACCACAGTATGTTTTGGCAAAAGGATGAAAAAGCAAACAAAAGCACAGTTGAGCAAAAAAGCCTAGGTTGCATATGCAAATACCTATCTTGATAGATAGAACCAGGGAGTTCTACAACAGGTGAACAGACTTTACATTTCCACCCCAATAATCTAAGTATGTTTGAAAAAGCAATAAAGTGAGGTCTGGTTATATAAGTACAGAAGATTAGAAGCTACTACTGGGTTATAAAAGGGAATCTATGTCATTAAAAATCACCAACAGTCTACTCAAAGTGCAAAAATCTAGGGAATGGTCATAACCTCAGACTGCTAAGCGGACTGAGTATTTTGAGATGATATAAGAGATAAAGAAAAAAACTAAACATTTGATAACACTTGAAAATAACCAACCAGGCTGGGCACAGTGGTTCATGCCTGTAATCCCAGCACTTTGGGAGGCTGAAGCAGATGGATCACCTGAGGTTGGGAGTTTGAGACCAGCCTGACCAACATGGTGAAACCCCGTCTCTACTAAAAATACAAAATTAGTCAGGCATGGTAGCGCATACCTATAATCCCAGCTACTCGGGAGGCTGAGGCAGGAGAATCACTTGAACCCAGGAGGCGGAGGTTGCAGCGAGCTGAGAGTACGCCACCGTACTCCAGCCTGGGCAACAAGAGCAAAACTCTGTCTCAAAAACACAACCATAGTAACTTAAATTTTTGCATGGTGTCTTTTTGGACCTAAATTTCACTTCTAAAATTGAGTATTTCTAGTTTACTTAATGGGTCTCCTCAGCTCCCAACCGAGTACCTTGTATAGGAAAAATATGCTGACACAAATTGGTAATTATCTTCTGTGGCATTTCACTCTGTGGGAGCTTTTTGTTATTGTTACAAAATGTGACAGTTAAGAATAATTTAATTGGCCGGGCGCGGTGGCTCAAGCCTGTAATCCCAGCACTTTGGGAGGCCGAGGCGGGTGGATCACGAGGTCAAGAGATCGAGATCATCCTGGTCAACACGGTGAAACCCC